TCATCGTTAAAATAAATGAAAATGCTTTTTGAAAGTAACTCCTATAGTATATACAAGCGAGCTCACAATTCAACCAGTACCAAGAATACGTCATCCACTTAAAAATACTGAAAAACACTGAACAGTGTAAAAATCTGAAATACTGAATGTTTTCGCCCGCTGTATAAATATTGAATATTTTCACCCAGTAAACACATAAAACACCTGGTAAAATCTGAAAATTTAATATTTTCATAAAGTGAATACTGTAGAAATCTGAAGAAAAACAATTGTCACCCAGTAAATGCATAAAAAATAACAAAACCTGTAAAGTCTGAAAATTGCATGTTTTCATCCAGCTAATACTGTAGTTTGCTGTAGAAATCTGAAATGCTGAATATTGTCACCAATTGAATAAGAACCTCGTGGATAGATATACATATATAGTCTCCTGGCACATTGCACAAACATTTGTTTACGCTTTGAATTCGGACTAAACTTCTGGGAATTTTGTTTTCATGTTTTACTGCTTCAACACTTTTATTCCTATTTCCATGGCAAAGCAATCTATATACACTACCTAAGATTCCGACTTATCTCCGTCGTAAAACACCGTCAACTTCAAGTAACTGTCAAAAAAGACCTATAGAACAGTTTTACAGCTGAAGTATCTAAACATCCGACAAAATACAACAACAAAACTCAATGGAGGACGCTATATATATATATCGATTAAGTCAGACGCATATTGATCGGATTCAATAGCTAAACACGTAAAGCGGGTATCCTCTATATATAGTGTATACGCGATAGTTTGTCAACATGTATTACTGTGTGTACATGAAATAGTCTGTTATCGTTAACAAAGGGGATTCCCCTACACGGATAATGTCTCTAATGTTTACCGCCGTGAGTCATGTTCCAACTCAACGTTGTAAGTTCCATGTCATCGGGTTTTGTAGGCCTGTATATAAACAGGGCCAAATCATGTAATACCTATAATACATACAGACGGAGCACAGGACAGACAAACCAATAAAACAGCCGTTTGACACCAGTATCATTAATATGGACAAGTAAGTAATTATTGATTTGTCTATAACTTTGTAATGGATATCATCACTTTTATATTTTATTGTACATATGGACGTGTTTGTCAATGGGGGCATAAATATGTTTATAAGAAATTTTGTAGAATTTTTTTTTGTACAATAAATCATTTATTTGTTCTAATGTTAGATAAAGCAAACTGATTTATTTTGTCTTTTGCAGAGAGTATGACTTTCTATTCAAGTACCTGCTGATAGGCGACTCAGGTGTAGGGAAATCTTCCCTGTTACTCCGGTTCGCGGTAAGTTCTCAAACCTTCAGGTTTAAGGGTATTGTTATTGTTCTAAGATACAGAAAGTCGCATCTACCTATCCGGGCTATCTATAATTATTAATGATATTAATAACATAAGTGATACATATGTACAATTACAGTTAGTTTACATTAAATTTAGTCTCCGTTTAATGTTTTGCGTGTGTGAGTGTTTGCCACTTTGTGCATGACTCGAACGTTGGTATTATTCACATTTATGCGATTCCCGGAGCTATATCACATCGTATAAATATTATATGCTGACATTTCAACACTCGAAGTTTTTTTTCTAGATTATTATGGAGTTTATAATAGTTAATATCACAACATGAAATTTTTCGCCTCTATTTTTCAGGATGACGTATTTTCAGACACCTACATCTCTACGATAGGAGTAGACTTCGTAAGTTTACTTATTGTTATTAACTTTGATTTCATGCAGTTATAATGTTTTTGTGCTTTGTTGAAATAATAATTTGCATTGATTTTTGCTTGTTGTCTTTTTTTTCGTTTTTGATTAACAATATTTACAATAAAATAGATATATGGAACACAATTAAAGACCTGGCTCCCTTAAATCATTAACGAGTACAATACGTTAAGAAAGTCGCACAATGAAATTGCTTGACCAGAGGTTTTTTAATTTCTGTTGTAGAAGATCAGAACGGTGGACGTTGATAACAAAGTCGTCCGATTACAAGTCGTGAGTATATATTGCTTTGAATGAAAATCATGTCTAAAGTGCTCAACCTAGAAATCATTTAAAAAAAGGAGGAAATATGCATTTGAAACCATTTTAAACGTTACCATTTAAAATCTTTTGGTGACAACACGTCATTTTTTATTCGTATTTTTAAACCATTATTCCATGTCAAAATAAATCCCAGCTACAAGGTTATGTTAGACAGTCACTAGATCGTGACGACTCCCCGGTCACTCGATTGTCGATACACAATAGTACATCGCTGATTTCATTTCAATAGTTCGTCAATGATCGCATCTCTTTGTCATACCACTCATTATAACTATTTTAGAACAATACTAAACTGGTAAGTCCTCACCATTTCAGTGAAAATATTTCCTTATATAGAAACGATCTTTGAACAATATTCCATTGATAACAAAGAACCTTCTATAAAGGAATAATGATGAGTTTAAGCCTGCGTGTTCGAATGTGAGATTTATTTAACATATTTTCAACTTAATAGTGGGACACTGCAGGACAGGACCGATTCAAAAGCATCACGGCATCCTTCTACCGCGGGGCGCACGGCATTATGCTTGTCTATGACGTCACTGACATGGTAAGCAAACAATGTTCAGACACTGTTGTAAGTATTGGAACATTTCCTATAAATGTCTAGTAATCACGGTAATCAGTTGTAAATGGTAGTTTTGTAACACAGATGACAGTTATCCACTAATCTATGATTGATCACTAACTCTAAACACCAACTCTGATGTTCGATAGGGTGCCCTGTATGGTGCTTTGATATCACTTTTCCTTATTTTTCGTTACTTTATTTCTGGATCAGATTTCGCGTCTTAGCATTTTGTGATAAGAATAAGATTACGTTCTAAAGGGATTTTAAAATTCCGAAAATAATCATCACCAGTGTTAAGTTTGTCAACAAATATACATATCTCTAGAAATTCTCGAGAATACAAACTTTCAGTGTCAATTAACACAGCGTACACCCGGTACATCTAACAAACTAAACAGTATCAAATATATTTGCTAAAACTATCTATACAACAATTAATATTATATACATTCCGTGTATGTCATTATAAGCATATTGCAAACTCACGATGATTGCTATTATTTATTTAATTAAGAGTCATTCCAACACGTTGAAACATGGATCAAGGAGGTGGATAGATACGGAAGTTGTGATCACAATATGATTCTTGTGGGGAACAAATCCGACCTGAGCGGTAAACGAGTGGTTACGTACGAAAAGGGCAAGGTGAGTCATAGAGTCAAAACTTGTTCATCAACTCAACAATGATATGTTTATCCAGCTACCACGTATGTGTTTATTCAGTTACCATTAATGTTTATCCAGACACCATTAATTGGTTGTCCATCTACCACTTATTCGGTTTCCCGCTTAAATAGTTGTTCCGCTATCTTTTCAGAAATTTGTTCTTGAAAAATGGACTTTTTTATGCATAATTTTCCAAACAAATCAGTCTTCGCACAAATGAAATAAACTTTATCGTCATCTGATTTCCATTATCAGGAATTTGCTGAGAAATTGGGTATTTCGTTCATGGAGACCAGCGCCAAAAGCTCAACAAACGTCGAAACTCTATTTATGACGATGGCAGCGGAAATCAAGAGCACCATCGCTGAGGATAAATTAGACACCACAGGAGGGGTGACAGTGATCGTTCGAAACAGTTCGCCAGTCAACAAAAAGTCGTCATGGAAATGCTGTTGAAGGCATGGAAATATGGAACTGTTACGTACTTCAGGTTGTTGCGACATAAACAATTCATATTTACACTCCCTCGGGAGTCCTGTACTAGTCTACATGAAGAAAATGGTTGGTTGACTTATGTGAAGGTCATGGGTGATATTGCATAACATGGCCATAAAGCTTGTGTTGACATCAACAACACATATAGAACATGTTCATATGACATATTCTGGGGATATGACGATTTCGACAATTGCCATGTGACATTTGTTGAGAACTCAAATTAGAGATTATCTTTAAGTAAGTTGTGTATGCCTTTATGAAATCATCACATGTGTAAAACTTCATACAAGGATCTGTACATTTTTTTCTGGAGCAATGCAAAGTGATATATACTTGAGGTATGCGTACTCTTTAGATTATCTATCAACAGATACATTGTGTACCTAGGAGGAATTGACCTCAGCTGCTGATGAATACTCTTTATCAATAATCAGTCATATTCTTTACTATAAACCAAAATAAAAGTTGCTCCATACAGAAATGTAGAACAAACATACACACTGTGCCATAACATACATAGTCGCATGCCTAGAATCAACATCAGTTCCACTCCAAGTTACTGATAATGACATTCGATAATGCTACACTGTATATAAATATATGACATAGTGAGATATCGAGTTATACCAACCCCAGATGGAGAGGTGTACACAACGTACATGTAGCATTACGTATATTGCTGCTGCTAAGAACGGCATCCGCTTCAGTCCAAGTACATCCATCAATACTCGCGTTCAAAGATGCTGCTCATATGAACTGTATAATATTTATTTATGTATAAGCTTCATACAGAGTTAGTGATATCATTAGAATCGATATCAGTTTCAATCCAAGTAACTGATAATGACATACGAGCAATGGTCCTTCCATATTATTAGTGCAAGTGTGCAAGAAAGTTGTATATATTATATTCGAAGATGCTCCTCTCTATTTAATAACATGATTTACAGCTAGCTTAGCCTGTATGAAGTATAATATCAATTGTTCCACACAAGAATCGACATCAGTTTCAATCTCAGATACTGATAATGACATTCGAGTGATGGTCCTTTAAACAATATGGGTGATATTTTGTGCTTGTGATAAATTATTAATTTTCTGACTGTAAGGTATTTGTTTATAATGTGTTTACCTATAATTTCCTGTGTTTTTTATCATATTGTTTTTAATGACTGATAACAATCTTGTCCACCGTTGTAATCACCAATAGATATTTTACATTTCAATCATTAGAAGATAATTAATACATTTTAAAATTTTGTATCTATACCGTTGTTATAAAATAAACTGTTGAACAAAACTGCACATTTTTAAATTAATGAATAGTTGCATCACAATTTCATTTACTATATGGAAACGGTTACAATCATAACCCAATGTTAATATCACCACAGAAAACCTTGAATACTTCCATTTGCATTAACTGTTGCCAGGATGTTACATCACAAACAAAACAAAGTCTAGCTGTATCTTGCATGGTTTCTTTCTTCAGAGAAAAAATAACAAAAGAAAGAAATAAGTATTCAATATTACAAGATATCTTTGAATTTAAGCTTATCCATATCTGGACATATTTATATACATGTATATACCTCAAAGTGTTTATAATTTATGGCGGTGTTATCACTGGTCATTCTTACAGGTCTCGCTTAGAAGAAAATGGTTCTTACTTGATTCTAATCGCTATGATATAACCCAATTTAAATGGTATATTGATTACTATTACTTACCAGGTAATCATCAACCGTCAAGTTTGTGATCATAAAAGAATTTAGATTTCAGTCCAAATTGTGAATATCGTACAATAGTTCACATATTTGTTCCAAATTTAACATGGTCTCAAAGAAAAATACATTTTTTATTGCCATTTGACAATAGCTTGATTCATGACTTTCGGTCCAGGTAATTCATTTTCATACACTTTTAAACACATCAGTTGATGTTAATTGCACGAAAATCACAGAATTACTCCACAGCGAAAGTAAAATGTTAGGTGAGCCTCGACAACAGTAGGGTCCCAATGTATAAACGTCTGTCACCACTACATTATGTATGGTTCCAAGGTTTCTCCACTACATGTTGCCTGGTATCATGTAGTGTCATTTCATGAGTGAAGAACGGTTTTCTTTGTATTGTTTGCTATTATATTGTTTCACTATCTGGTAGACTAAGAATGGTTTCTCTTGATCCCTTATCATGTAGCTCCATCTGATCGGTAGAGAATGGTTTCTTCATAATGTGTTATCTATTACATTACACTCTCTGACAACCCATGAATGATTTTACTTTATCTAGTGTCATGAAACTCCATTTAACAAGCTGAAAAGGGTTTCTCTTCAATCTGTTTTCTGGTATCACGATGCTGGTTTCTACGCAATATGTTACCCTCTACCAAGTTTCTCTATCTGGTATCTCTTGATCTGGTATCATGAAGCTCCATCTGGCAAGCTGAGAAGGGTTTTCTCTGTGATCAGATGCCTTGTGTTATGCTACACTATCAGACAAGTAGAGAATAGTTTCTCTGTCATCTGTTGTCTGGTAGATTTCTGTCGCTCCATCTGACAAGCAGGGAGTAGTTTCTCGATCATCTGTTGATTGACATCACGTCACTCCAGGAGAGGTGAGGACCTTTTCTATTACTTCATTCAGCTGTTGGATCCGTTCCCTACTTAGCGTATTTCTCACACTGAGTTCAAAACTGTTTTCTGAAAAGAAAATACACAAATTCATTCAGACACTTAACCTGATTTAACTGTTTACTTTTAATTTTCACCCTGTTCATGTTTGTTATATTCTAAAAACAAATATGAAGTGAAAATATTCATAATTTCTGAAAAATGAGCATAGGAGTTTATCATTTAATAATATATTACTGAGATAAAATTGGGAACCCTACAGATTTATATTGACACTTGATAATTTGATATCTAATACACAAATGGTAAATTGTAGAGGATAATAAAAGGAAACATAAAGTCGACCTCAGTCTTTCAATTTGTGATTACATGGTGGAGAAAATAATGCTGTAACTAATTACCTGTGATCTATATATATATATTTCACAGGCTAATATTTAAATGTTTCATACACTCTTCATTAGTAAATCCTATAAATTGTTTTTTCTGTTACTTTGTTAATATAGTGCGGTCTATGTAAACTTTATACACCATATTGTTAAATCCATCAGACAGCTTTTGCTTTGTATTAGTCTTACGGTACAAGAGGAGTGTAACCTCACCTGGTCCAGTCAGCAGGACAGCACAGCAGGCTCGATGTAGCCACATCTCCTCGGTATCTGTTCCATCCCCTTGGTCAGCTGTGCCCTCAGCAATGTAGGTAAAGTGGAACGTGGGCCACCACGACTCCCTAGGTTCCCAGTGCTCAACAATCATGTCCTTGTTATCACTGAAATGATAAGTAAACGTTACAGAATCATTTCATCCAAGATTGCGTGTCACATTGCATACATTTCATTCCTATGAAGTGCAGTGGGTATGTCTATGAAATTGTGCATTTTTAACCCTTTTCACCACTGTAGACCCTAATGGACTCATCCAGATCAATGCATAGTACAGTTTACTAAAGTTACATAGGGGTGAAAGGGTTAAAATAACCATGATGAAACTGAGGAACTTCCTGACTGAATATAATGTATAGTAGGAATGTTTCATCCTTAGTGACATTTGCCTTTTACTAGGAAAATCCACGTTCAATTGGTGTTATTTTTGGCTTTCATATGGGAAATAATTCGTAGTGCTGAATATTAATAATTATTGTTGCCATGAATTTATTTTCAAAATGGAGGACAAAAAAGGTTAAAATTATGCATTTTATAGTGTTACTGTATACTGGGATACTTTCACTTTGTAAAAGGTTCGCCCTTTTGTCATTCAAAATTTTATTTTCACCCTTCATAAATAAAAACTATATATGTATTTTTTTTATTAATATTTGTTGTAATAGTAAATTTGCCACCTGACATTATGGAGGGTGAATAATGTAAAAGTTAAACTGCAGTAAAAAAAACCTGGTATGAATTATACGGCTACAGTCCAATCTTAATAGGACCTAAGAATATAAGGCAAATTCACAAATTTCAAACATTTCAAGAAAAAATATTCATTTTGTTTCATGCATGACCTGATAAAGAAAGATGAGCCATTCCCAACTGCCATAAAATTGGCCAGAGTATGTAATTAAGCCATATTAAGCCATACCTGTCTAATGCCAGCTGAAGTGCTGTAGATAAAGTTCTCCAGGACCTGGTGTCATTCTGCCAACATTTGTAATCCTTCAACTCAAATATGTAGACGAGGAGGTCACAGATATTTCCGTCTGAAAAAACAAAGGTATACTTTGATAACTGTGATGATGTAAAGCACAATCTAAATACGATGCCCCTTGTTTCATTTGCCTCTTCATTTACTGCCAACATCTCTTTTCCTCTTCCCTTAACAGTTTTTGTATATGTCTACAATGGATATATTACCATTTTTAATTAAAAAGACTTCATTGGTATCAAACAGAAAAGGATATAATCTGTCACCTTTTTAATGGCCTATTCCACTTAGTATTGTACAAAAGGTGGCAATATTTCAATGTTTTACTGTAAGATCCAATACTTAATTTAAAGTTACAGTTGAGCCTCTTTAACCAAGCTACCACTAGTCTAGTTTTCCCACACCCCAGCTTTGAAAATCCAGCCACCATATTGGTTGTATATATATGGGGAAGGCTAAAAAGCCAATAATTGTGAAAATATTAAAAACACTCACCTTCAATGAATCTGTCACACAGGTCCATCACCAGCCGGTCTGATGGCACACAATCGGCGACTGCCTATCAGAGAGAAGTTAAACCCAGAGATAAACAATGGCCCTGTTTTCANGGGGGGCTTAATGGCAGGCACCCAGACATTTATTAAAGTAGGTAGGGGGCTTATTTGCGAGAGGGGGCTTATTGCCGGTAAAATACGGTATGTTGAATCGACATTCAAAAATACCAGGAATAAGCTAATAGTGCGCAAGTAGAATTGTACCAAATATTCAGTTATGAAAACAAGACTTGTACTGGATTTTCCTGGCTTACCTGCAAATTTCCAAAAACGTTTCTATAATAGCATTATCTTAACTTAAGACATATGCCATCTTACCCTTTAAATCTGTGATTTAATCCCTCTTTGAAATTTTGAGTACAACCAATACATGTAATTTTGTATTACACCATTGTATTTTTCAAACTTGTCCACAATTAACACAAAGTTGAAATATTTTTTCACTTATTTACACCACAGGTTTCGAAGTGAGGAAGTCTTTTCAAAAAGAGGTGAATATTTGCAATAAGGTAATATACATCTTTAACAACTCTAGAAATTAGTTGTTTTTTTTTACAATTTTGGAAGATGAATGGTCTAAATGTTATGTTTCTTCAAGTATGGCAGTTAAGGACTTATTGACACAGTGAAAACAGAGCTACCTTGAGGAGATTAGTGTCACAGTCTCTGGTTACAAGGCTGTATTTCGTACAGAAAGAGTAGAGGTACTTGTGAGTGTTTGGATTTTCACTGTTCTTATCTCTGTACATTTCCAGTATGGACTTGGCCTCCTCCAGTCTGTAATAGTGTTCCAGAATCTGTGAGAAAATACAAAATGGAATCTCAATCCTTATCATGTTGTTGCAAGTATTGGTATTGATATCAGTTAGAATCATAAGATAGTTTATTCAAATACATATGTACCGTTTAACCTGCATCTGTTATTTACTTAGGCTTAAATTTTCTTAAATTTGACCCAAATATAGAAGATTAAATTTCGCAATCTAGACAAGTAAAGGAATTCAATTTCTGTGCTGTCAAGATATCAAATGAATAGGCTTTATTACAACTTATTGAGCAACAACAAGTTATTGTCAAACAAATCATCAATACAAGCCATTCAGATTGATATGTCTCAACTGTGGCCCCCTTTGACCATCAATGCCCATGTCAAGTTTGGTTGGTCTAGCACTTTCAAGGAAACTAACTTTAACGCAAAAGCAAAAACTTAATGTTGATGGAGATGCTGACAAAGTCAATGGACCATAAAAGGTAGGCCGCATCCAACATTTGATGCATGGGTTGTGAGTTAAACACAAAAATTTATTGTAAATGCCGCAGCTGGAAAAGTAACACGTTATAGTCTCGCTTCCGCTACTTCGTGGGGCGAAACAAAAACTATTTTATCATTAGATGTGTGATATAATCTACCCGGTATTTCCAAACATCTGATTGTATTACTCTTGAATTATATGAGTCATCCTAACCACATGCTCCCTATTTCGTGATGACATTACAGTTATGAAGTTTATTATCACGGCTCATTTTTTTCACATGTCATTATATTCTGTGAGAAAACGTGAAAAAAAACATTCTACAGAAATATCCTGCTATACATTATTTTGATAAACTATAGTTCAAGTATATTTTAAGTGGCTTGAACTTGGTATGGGGATAGCACTAAATATGTGACTACTGTTTACAAATTGGGGAAGGTAGAAATGTCAAGTTAACTTGATGAGATATAATATTGACAGATGACAGATGCTCTTCATTTTTTCATAGACTCGCAAACTTTTTTTAGTTTAATTAGAGATCTTGTCTATGGACAGATGACAGAGGCTCAATATGTTACCTGGTTCTGTTTTTTTAGACATTAATTTTCAGAAGCAAAAGCATCTAATCGAAGACACAGCATAAAATTAATCCTATGATGCTGTTTTCTGTGAAGCACCAAGCACGACCCCCATATCTCATTAAGAAGGAGGAAACGTCATGATTAAAATCCAAAGTGTAGCGCCTACCTTGACATGTTTTGTGATGAAAATATCCCAGACTCCAAGGTGATCGTATAATTGAGAGAAACAGGAGAGAGCTCTCTCGGCACCATCTTTCAGAGCATCTTCTTCACCGTCGAAATAGTACAGGCCTTGTCCAAAGTCGTCCCCTGGTGTGATTAAACATTCAATTCAAAGGCTGATCCAGAAAACAAGTCCCTTGTCTGTTTAGTGAAAACAATCAGGACCACGCCAGTATGTACCAGAATTTACCAGTTAAAAGAGGTATTTTGATAGTCATTCTTTGAGTAACCACCTTATTTTTAATTTTACATTTTTCTGTGAATATAGTCCCTAAAACCAAGCCTACTCACCTGAATAAAATTAAGTTCCTTGTATATACTTAAAATGGTGTGTCAAACACTAAATATCAGTTATCTTGATTTCTCTCTTTGTATTGATTTTTTAACGTGCTGTGAGGTAAACAACTTACCGTCTATGACTGTAGCGTGTGAGGCCAGGCGCTGTCGGTCCAGGTTCCATCGGGTGTAGTACAGAAGTCCTTGGTAGGCAGTGAACACCAGGTCCTTGTACTGAGACTTTGACTTGTCACACTTCTTAATCCCTCTTATCTTCGGTATGTCCTTGTGGTGGGCAAAGATGACATTTTATTTAATTATTTTGGCACCTTATAATGAACATCAACAAAGTATAAGTTATCTCCCTTCCCAGTGCTGCTTGCTTGGCCTCCCTTTGGTCCCCAATATGTTCTATGCCTTTCCAGCATGGCTAATCTGATCCTCAAGCTTAGCTAACTCACCTGTATTCAGCTCTTGCTTCCCATATAATTAAGTTATCCTCCCTTCTAAGTACTGCTTGTCTGGCATCTAGCTTCCCTTCTAAGTTATCCCCCTTACCAGTAAAGCTTGCTAGGCCTTTCTAGTTCTCCCTACTAGTTATTCCTCTTACAGCATGGTTGCTCTTCTAGCTCCTGTTTCTGTGAGCGATCTCCCTTAGCAGTGCTGCTTGGCCTTTCTAGTCNAAGTTATCTCCCTTACCAGTGCTGTTAACTTAGCTACTACATGTAGTTTCCCCTGTAACTTACCACCATGGCTCGCTTGGCCTCCTCTAATTCTCCCTACAAGTTATCTCCCTTACCAGTGCTGTTAACTTAGCTACTACATGTAGTTTCCCCCTGTAACTTACCACCATGGCTCGCTTGGCCTCCTCTAGTTCTCCCTTGTGTAGTAAATACATCACATACTCCAGTACAACTTCTTTAAGTTCTAGATCAGACATTCCTTTCAATTTTCTGAAGGCAAAATAAAAATATGGAGGTACCAATACTGAGACCAAAAATAAAATATAGGTGTATTTCAGGTGTTTTCTTACACATGCTAGAAACAAAAGGAAAATGTTCAAAATCCCATATTAAAACATCATAGCATTGTAAATTTGGTTGTGATACATGCTAATCGGAAGTTTCTCATTTTTGTTACTGAAATGATTTTGTCTGCTGACCATTTCATCAGAAAAATATTGATCTGGAATGAATCAAAACTCACAAACCAGATTAACAGGAGATCACTGTGTTTGATATCTTGATGATAACTCTATATAAACATTGGAAGTAAACAAAACCTGCTATGAAACATTAGTGTACCATTTTTCCTTTGCTGTACTTGTATGTAAACAGCAATGTGCTATTTATAGTCATGTTTGGTTAATATTTAATTATTCAGGGGGAAGCGGGAGGTGGAAGGGGTAAAAGTCTGACAATGCCGATAGTTAACCAACCAAAGGTTTTAGTCTAAAAAACGATACCTAGTCAAAAATTAGGATTTTGTGACAGGAGTGTAAAATCCTTGCAAGAAAATTGTTTGTAAAATTTTCAATAATAAGGGCTCACAATGACCCTGTGGTTGGGATCAATGAGGATAACACTAATTAGGTGCAAGACTTGACACAATAATCTTCCATTTTTTTTTTTTATTATTATTAGTATTACCTAATGGAATATATCACATCCCTTATACAATGGATTTTCAATAAATCATAAAATCTGTAGTTCGATATATATATTTTATTCTTATTTTGGTTTTCCTGACACCAGACAACCTTACCTCACATAATGCTCAATGAGGCCATTGTTCTTGTCTGGGTTGGAATACATGATCTCCATTCCTACCTAAACAAACAAACAATAAAGGCCCTGTATTACACACTGCCCTTTTTCATGTTGTTTAAAACAATGAAGGTTGTACTGTATACTGGAACGATACATTTGATCAATATGCCATGTGGTGAACATTTTCAAAAGGTTAGTATGAAGGTCCTGGTTTTAAATGGAACTTTTTTTGGAAGAAATAAGACAGGTGTTCTTACTTTAGATATATTTATTGCCTTATTTGAAGTAGGCCATACTATTATGATGCTTTATTTTCCTGAATATTTTATAAAATATTAGATGACTTGCAATGTAATTTTGCAAATGTCATATTAAATCGCACTTAAACAAGATGGGATACATTTTATGTACAATGTGCATGTCAAGATTGGATTATGTGTTTATACAACTTTCTCTAAACATGGTATGTGCAAAGAGTTGATGTAAGAGATGATAACCAAAAGACATGAGGATAGAATTTGTGCTAATTGTTCCACAGTTTAGAGACTGACCTTCCACAGAGATATAGCAGAGTGAGTTGGGTCATCGCCAAGGAGACGGAGCACAGTAAGACTGTTTGTCCAAGCGTGTGCCAGGAGGTAGTCCCTGAGAACGGTCACCAGGTAAGGCTGTAGCAGACTGCCTGTAGATTGCAAAGATGTTACTACTAGTACGTTATTACCTTTAAATTTACAAATGACAAAATCAAAAAGTTTAAACTACAATTTTAAATTATTTATTTGTACACTCATAAGTCAAACCACATTCATTCCTCACAAAGTGGTAGGATTGATACATGGCTGGAATACTGGGCCACTTTATATAAGAATATAAAAAGAGAAATTGTGGTATCTGTTCCAAACACCAGCTAAATATATTCAATCATTAGATTTTCATATTATTTTTTTTGAATTGTTCTTCCATTGATTTATTAGCAAAAGGAACATTAACAGCTGTAATAATTGTGTCACCTGCACATATTTTTGTGAAATATTTATTTTCATGATCTTTCTTAATTAACATAAACAGATATCTTTGTCTGAGGAGGTCTGTATCGTGACTACATGCTACCACACAGGGCCTTACTCTCGTCATTCTGATTCTGGATGTTGAGGGCCAAGGACTTGAACCACTCCACAGCCGTTGACTCTGTCTGGTCTGCATATACCAAGGTCTCACTGTCGTGCATCAGTAGTTCACACACATCCTTCTGCAGTAAAGAATGTTAAGTACAAAAAAAATATGAACAGTTTATTCAGATAATGCAATAAAAGGCCAAATGGCCTGCATTGCTCATTCCACAGTATTAGATTAGAGCGCTATCTAGATTAGAGTGCTCATTCTTATTCAATGCTGTTGGCAAACACATGACATCTCCCATATTTTGACCATCAAAATAGCTCACGGCTAAATATTTAAACAAACATGAGAGCAGGCAAGCTNAAAGAAAATACCAAACAATGTTTCGCCCTAAAAAAAATGTTTTAGGGCGAAACAACCTAGGGCGAACGGGATTTGGGGCGAAACAACCCGGAACCCAAGCTAACAATACAGGCTGTACACATGTTTATCATTTCTGTGAAAATTAAAGGTCTTTATTGGAAGATTTTAATCAAAAGAAGCTACATACATGTACATGTCAACTCCCTAGCCATCTTCTGAGAGATATTCCCTCTGAGCAAACTCCCAAAGGGAATATAAATTATATGTGAAACTTTTACATTATTTCTAAATTAAGTTCAATGGTGCTGTGAAATATTTTATCAATTCTTATCCCATTTTATTTACAAGGAGGTGCGAATTGCCACTCCCCTTACTTTAGTGACCCAGTGGCGGATCCAGAGGGGTTTTTTGGGCTTCAGGAAACCCCCCCCACCCTGAGAATTTTCTTTAAAAATCATGTATTTTCACCATTTTCCTCAATTTTTCCCCACATGGAAACCCCCCAAGGAAATTTGGAAACCCCCCCAGATAGGTCTCTGGATCCGCCACTGTGACAGACCTGGTCACTGACACTCATTAATTATCCTGTTCATTCAACCAATGTCCAATGGCAAGGGACTCTATGTGAAATAAGGTAAAGTTAGTATGAAGACTGATTAGTAAACGTTATTTGAAGTTAATAATAAATTGCTGTATGTGTTTTCAAATGTTGCAATCGATTCAAGCACGTGTATATTTATTCCTTGAACAACTCTTTACCATCATATCAATGTCATTGACGACGGCGTTTTGCTGATCTTCAGTCTCCATTTCCTTTCAATTCACCAAGGGATGTGTAGAGTAGACATCCCTGATTCTCACAACTTCCCTTACACACATGTGCCACTTCCTGTTTACTATTTTCAATCCGCTAGATGTCACACTAATCGACACAGGTCTTGTAGACGCTTAACAACAAAGAACATTTTTGTCTCAATTGTTTGAGCGTTTCATCGACAAGATCGTCGAAAATAACTGGTACACGTGTAACAGCTGATCCAGGTAAATATTCCTTGCTTTGTGAAATTATTTGCCTGCATTCGCAGTGATCGAGGAAGGTCGTATGTATAATAACTGTTTAAGATGACTATACATGCTCTCTGTCTATTTCTTTGAAATAAATGTGTACCTATACCGAGATTTTTCCACCAGGAAATTAGAGCGTTATTTATGATACCATATGCTGGCCATGGTTGTGTCTGATTCCTGATCATGCAATAGATATTGGTCGTTGGTTGTAAGATAAGAAATAACAATTGAAATGGTAATCGAAAAAAGTGAAAGGTAGATTCACACAGGAATTTGAAAATATAGCATTTGTTTGAGTGTCGATTGTGAAGCTTCCATCTGTAACTGAAGATGGAAAAATGCAAGGCCAGACTGGGGTTCGAACCAGGGACCTTCCAAACTCTAGACAGCAGCTCTACCAATCTAGCTACCTGGTCTCTGACGATTGACCCAGTATAGTTCCGCTACATATCTAAAGTTACATATGCATATAATGGTCCCAGTGATGTACTGAGTGAACGAAGTGATCATGAAGAGTTAGATCTTTTGGCTTGGCTGTTAAATTGCTGGCCGATGACACATACTCACTCGATATGTGCGAATGTTTGTCTAGGAAAGATTTGTGATTATTTTATAGCTCATAATAGCTGTATAAATTAATTACATTGAACACAATACTTATCTTATGTTTTCAGGTTTAATGATGTATGTGAAGTGTTTGTGCCTGATTTTGAGTGTGTATATTGTACATGTGTCCTCACATGAAAATGCATATCCGCCTGGTATTCCTCCACCAAACAGCCAGCAGCAAGCACATCAGCATCAGGCACAGCAAGGTTACCCTAACCAGGGTCAACAAGGTAATCCCAACCAGGGTCAACAAGGTCATCTAAACCAGGGTCAACAAGGTAATCCCAACCAGGGTCAACAAGGTCAACTAAACCAGGGTCAACAAGGTAATCTCAACCAGGGTCAACAAGGTCACCTAAACCAGGGTCAACAAGGTAATCTCAACCAGGGTCAACAAGGCCAGCAAGGTGAGAACCTTCAGTTCCAGGCAGGTCAACAGCAGCAGCAGAATCTAGAAGCTACGGGTCACTACCAGGATGTTAATGTCCAAAACATGCAGCAGGGCGGTCCGACGGGTGGTGGAGGTCGTCATGGACATCATCAAGGAGGATTTAGGCAGAAAGAGCAGGTCCACAATTTAGAGTAAGTTAGGCATTGGTTTAGACAGATATCAGTATTGTAACAAGTCTAAATGTTTTGAGGGATATGTAAATTAAGGTTTGTCAGAAAGAATATTTCCACGTAGAGACCTAGGGTGTGGATAGAAAGAACAAATTGATATGTTATGTGGAGAAAGTGATAATCTGTGTCTATCAATGTCCTTGTATTATCCAAGGGCAGTTGCCCCACCCATATGTATCAAAGCAAGATAACGTCTACATTTCTGTTTTTCCTGCATTATGCCCAAAATAAAACCAAAAAACACATCAAAGATTTGTGTTACATTTTTCCTGTAGATTTGTTCAAGATAACATCACAACACTTCCTTACAGTTATTGTACCTTAATTAGTTGACCAAAAAAAAACAAACTACTAAATATTCCTCCATCTAGCCAATAGTCACACCACAGTCACTCTAACTTTCAGCACATTAAACTGTTAAAGATACAGGAGGTTTATAATGTTCTTAAAATGGTATCCCATCTTTTCCCCTTCAAGTCAGTTGGTCAAGGGTACAGAATTTAGAAAATTTTGAAACTTCCAAAAATGATAAATGTAAGAATGCAAAACATTATTGTCAGTCCTAAGAGTTATCTCCCCTTATACCATAAACAATCAACAAAGATGGGGAGGGTCCAACTAAGTTCAACATATCATGACTGCTTTTAAAGAATGAAATTAACATTAACAAGTAATGAAGTAGATGATTCCTCTTAATATTTATTCCCCGACCCTTAAATTTTTAAGGGTCGTTGCTGTAAAAAAAAAAAAAAAAAAATATTACAGAAATCCCATCTGGATTTGTCATAAGTTGTACCAGCACCATGAATTTTAATTGTATGGATACAGTTCATGCTGGCTTTGAACAACAAAACAAAATTATATTGGAGAATTTATTTTTTAAGTTTTAAAAAGGGAAAACAATACTTACATCAGGGATACTTATGGAAACAGTGAAAGGATTATAGTATGTTCTATACGGATACAGTGAAACCTTTGTGCTAAGACTACCCCTAGTAGCTTGTCATTGAAGACAGGTGATACTTTAAAGACCTCTATGTTTATTGGTTAGTGTAGAATGATATGCCTTTTATATATATTCATATGTGCCTCTGTAATCCAAGAATGATCATATTAACCAGACATTTTGATACTAAAACTATGTTTTACAAATAATTAAATATGAACTAATGAACCAGTAACACTTAGGACATAGATATATTTTACCTTAATTCATGCTTTGCTGTGGGACTTTTGAGAACCCATTATATCTGGGTGGTCGGGTGGTGCAGCGGATAGTGCACTTGCCTTTCACCAAGGCGACCGGGGTTCGATTCCCCGATCGTACATGAAAAGGTTGGGGTCACCTACCCGAACACGTGGGTTTTCTCCGGGTACTCCGGTTTCCTCCCACAATAAGACCCCCCCACACACTAACAACCGGGCCAACAAGAGTGATTAATATTTATAAGTTGAAATAACTTGTTTAATAATTGTTGTACAATAAATAAAGTTTATATTATATATCTGTAATGGAGCTCATCAACATTTTAAAAAAGATGCTGAAGACACGCCATATCAAAAATCCTACTTACTGTGTACATGAATTAGATTGCCTTTCTTCTCTGTCATATTTCGATATTATTAATTAAATATGTTAAATATTGAATGTCACAATAGGAAATATCAATCAAAACAGCAGCTTCTGTACATGCAAATCAACTTATAATTACGCACAGGATCTATAGTGGCATACATGTATATATATTGACAAAGTATAGGGGAAATAACGATTTGATGCCTACCACATATCAATCTGATTTTGATTTGAATGAAACATTCTTCTTTGTTTTTCCTTTTTTTTTACATTCAAAAGCTCAGAAATTTTTGATAATTTCTTAAAAAAAATCTGTTTGGAAGAGTTGCAGCAGGTACATGTTTATTTTGATGCTAAAATTTGAGATGTTGTGTATTTAACATGATTAATAAAATTTAAAGGGTATGTCATATTAAAGATGCCAGGTACACGTACTGTAGCTCAGTCTGTTAGAGGGATGCTATAACAATCTGAAGTCCAGGGTTTGAACCTTGGTCTAGCTACACTGAATATGTTTTGTTTATTGAATCTTTCTTATTCTTTTTCATAAAAGTCCTGCACAGTAAAATTCTATATTAGAAACGATTTACCAAAGCTTTGTTATTGCTAGAAAAAACATTTTCTAAAGTGTAGATACCCTCTTTGACAGTGGTACAAGGATCCTTAATGAAAACAGCACCACACACAAATTCAAAAATTGTTTGTTTGTGGTGTAACCTCCTTGCAGCAGCCAGTGTCATTTGAGGACACAGTGCAATAAGAAGATGAAGGTCATAAATTATATCATCTCTGGAACAGGAAGGAAAGAGTATATATACATACATAATAATTCCTTTTTATTAAGTAATGATATATACATATATATATAGCGGATGCCTCATAAAGTGTTTCACTGTTTCACAGCCATATAAAGGAACACTTGAAGGAAGTGATTGACAAACCTAAAGAGGATATGACGGAGGAGGAGCTGGAATTCCACTACTTCAAGTTACACGACTATGACGCCAATAACAAACTGGACGGCACAGAAATCACCAAGGCCATCACCCATTTCCATGGTATGTAGGTGGTGAATTGAACAAGGAATCCAGCAATTACATAAACATATTTTTGAATTATTTGTATGCTTCAGAAAAATACTAGCATCTTTTCTGTCTGAAATATCAGAGTTTATACAAATGTTCAAATTTTCAAAAAACGTTACTGATGATATAATGTTTTTCTTATAACTTAAACACAAATTTGCATTTCACCAAAAAATCCTATAATTGCTGCATTTGTTAAAAAATCAGTAGTTTCTGAAATATGCTCCCAATTATGATACTGGTTAGTCCCTTAGTTTACAGCAAAATGTAGGAGACAGACCATTTACATGATAATAGTTATGATAAAGAAACCAAATTATCTGTCCTAACAACGTTCTACAGTCGTACTGTTGACAAGGGTAGCACTTATTGTTGGAACAGTCATACATTTCAACCTGTTCAGGTTTGGACCTGCTGTATCCAACGGCTCGGCTTGTGTATTGTACACATAAGGCAACTACATATACTGTGGGGCCTCCTGCCAAATCAGGGGGTTTATTCTTTGTCTTCTGCTTGGAGACCGTTGAAGAGACCAAACTTGATATGCTACCCTCATTGTAACACATAGGATTAGGGTCTCTGTTTGGTTCTATCCTACTTTGTATTTCTTACCAGCGGTGTACCCCTTGGCATCCTTCTCAATATGACAATATGATGCTGAAATAAAACAGTGTTCGTGTCAAAAGATGTAGAGAGGCTTGAATGTACAAAGAGAGATGCTATATAAAAGTTATTGTGTCAAGAGAGAGGCTGGATTGTACACAAAAAGATAAAAATAGCTATATGTCATGAAAGATGCTCCAATAAAGAAACAGTGGTTGTGGAGAGGGAAGCTGAAATGCAGTGATTAGTCAAGAGAGATGCTCAAATAAAGAAACAGTTGTTTTGGTGAGGGAAGCTGGAATACAGTGTTTAGTCAAGAGAGATGCTCAAATAAAGAAACAGTGATTAGACAAGACAGATGCTCAAATAAAAACGGCAATTATGGCAAGAGAGGTTTGATTATATAAAAAAAAAAATGCTGAAATCAAAACGGTGAGTTGTCAAGAGAGATGCTAAAATAAAACAAACCCAGCGATTGTGGCAAGGAAAGCTAAAATATAATGATTTGTCAAGAGAGATGCTGAAATAAAAAGCAGATTGTAGCAAGATCAGATGAAAAAATATGAAAAGAGATTTTATCAGAAGAGATGTAAAAATGAGTTCAAAGAAAAGTTATTTTAAGAAAGACAGACGTACATGTATATGTAAATGGTGATTTTGTCAAGGGAGGTATGCATTCACTCTCAATTCTTTCGTAGTTGGTGGCAAATTATTTTAAAAGTTTACTATGATAAAAAAACAATACACATGCAATGAACCAAAATGCTAAGAAGCATATTAAAGTTTCGACTGTTAGGTAATTACAGAGATCGGAGAGTTGAATACAGTACATAGATAGAAAATATAAAGTGGGAAACTAAGTTCTATTATCTGCAAGTTTATAATCAAACCCGTGATATAAGTAAGGTGGAATCGAATCTGTTTATCTAGCTTCTGTACCTTCCTTAAAGGTAGATGAATTGAAGAACGGAAGCAATTGAAGAAAACAATTCTCTGTTGGAATCATCAAAGAATACCCTGACATAAAATATTGACCTGGTAGTGTGAGATTCCAATGATTGTTTATCCAGTCATAAAGATGATATACATTGTGTTCTCATTGGTTGGCATCCTTACGTTCTCTGCAATCCTGAAATACATGGCCAGGCGAATTTGAAGGCTCTTAGTTAGGTGCCACCTTGTGGATGATACAAGTGGACTAGTTTGATCCTTTGGTGTACGGTGTCGCTCCCCTGTAATCTTCAAAGGACAGACATCAGCCTAGCGATTTGTCAGGGGGTTTTTCACCTGAAAGCAATCAAATACTTAATAGCAAACCGCGTGCCTTCGATTTAGTCATATAACATATTCCAGGGTTGCAGAGAATGTAAGTGAGCGTAACCCCTGACATTTCGAGGTTGCGTAATATGATGAGTTGAACACTCTAAGTCGGAATGATAAAAGAGGTTAGCATTTCAACGATAGAAGTAAAATCTCATTGTAAACAGTTTTTCTGTCATCTGACAATTGTTTGAAACAGAATTTCTTAGCGAATGTTTGCAATGCTCCAAAATGATGCGAACGAAGTCAGATGTGGATTTAGAGAACCGAAGGGTCCAGATCCATTTTTTTCAAGACGCTTTTGTTCACAATTTACTCCCTCAGTTTTCGGTATACACCTCCTATATTAAAACTTCTTGGATCCAGCATAGGTTTTAGCGCCAATGATTATGTATGTTCCTGTTTTGTGTGAATGTGGTATAATTTAATTAAAAACAATTATATGTTGAAATGTAAAGGGAAGGTCGGAAAGACTTGGCTAAAGGCCTCCTCCTTCGGTAAGTCGAGACGCATACACCATTAACGGGTTTGGCACCCTTTCTATTGATCAATAGACGGAATTAGTTAGTGGTAAGGTCCTTTTACATGCATGCTCTAATCCTTTTTTTGTTTTTTCTTTTTCTTTTTCTTGATCTTATTTTTGTTTTACGAATATTTTTTTATGTTTAGAATGGTTTCTTATATCCCTCCAATAAGTCGAGACTATATATATATAGAGAGAGAGATAAATAGTTTTGAATGTCCATGTGTCGGTAAAAATATAAATAAAACAAAACACGAAGACTAGTAAATAACGCAAAACACGAAGACTAGTAAATAACGCAAAACACGAAAACTAGTAAATGTGTGTTAACTTCATGTTACTAGTGAATATGGAATAAAATGTGTTGAGAACCAGGATTTGTGTAATGGTACACTTGTTTCCTTCCGCTGTTTTAAATTCGTTATGGCTGACAAAAACACGTAGTTTTTTTTAAAGATATTTTAGATAAGGTATTTACTTTGGTACTTTAGTTGTTTTCACATTTCGTTAAGGTATCTATACATTGTGCACAGACAAAAGTAAAAAAAAAAAATCATGAACGATCATGGTCATGTGGAATGTAACAAAAATGCAAAATGGTTATACCACTTGGGTATGGAATTCCAACTCCTGTATTGTACGAAGTATAGATATCAGTTTTGCCCAATTACATATATATTATGAATAATTTTACTTAATCAGATCATTGACTTAATTCTAAAATTATGAGAGAGAAACTCATGATAGCATACAATTGTATATACTCTATACGAAGTAAGTGACCGAGGTATAATAGCAGTCTGTGTTCATACTCTGTTCGTCAGTGTATCTGTTATACTCTATACGAAGTAAGTGACCGGGGTATATTAGCAGTCTGTGTTCATACTCTGTTCGTCAGTGAATCTGTTATACTCTATACGAAGTAAGTGACCGAGGCATAGTAGCAGTCTGTGTTCATACTCTGTTCGTCAGTGAATCTGTTATACTCTATACGAAGTAAGTGACCGAGGTATAATAGCAGTCTGTGTTCATACTCTGTTCGTCAGTGAATCTGTTATACTCTATACGAAGTAAGTGACCGAGGTATAATAGAAGTCTGTGTTCATACTCTGTTCGTCAGTGTATCTGTTATACACTATACGAAGTAAGTGACCGAGGTATAGAAGCAGTCTGTGTTCATACTCTGTTCGTCAGTGTATCTGTTATACTCTATACGAAGTAAGTGACCGAGGTATAGTGGCAGTCTGTGTTCATACTCTGTTCGTCAGTGTATCTGTTATACTCTAAACGAAGTAAGTGACCGAGGTATATTAGCAGTCTGTGTTCATACTCTGTTCGTCAGCGTATCTGTTATACTCTATACGAAGTAAGTGACCGAGGTATAGTGGCAGTCTGTGTTCATACTCTGTTCGTCAGTGTATCTGTTATACTCTATACGAAGTAAGTGTCCGAGGTATATTAGCAGTCTGTGTTCATACTCTGTTCGTCAGTGAATCTGTTATACTCTATACGAAGTAAGTGACCGAGGTATAATAGAAGTCTGTGTTCATACTCTGTTCGTCAGTGTATCTGTTAACACACGAATATGGAGATCTGTTCTGATCATTGCGACTTTATATCCAAATTTCCCTAAGGAACCTAATCCATGTTCGTCTTGACCAAACGATGTGTCCCGGAACACTTAAGGCCCTAGACTGAAACGGTAAAGGTCGAGACAAGGGGTCAAAGGTCAAAATACCGACACCATTTCTATATGGATGGACCCTTATGAAATTTAACATTGTGTTTATCACAGCTAGACGGTGTGTCACACAACACTGTCAGGTTCGTCCCCTAAAGGTCAAGGTAAATTTATTTATCTGATTAAGAACATGAGCTAGTGAACAAAGGCTAGTATCCAACGACTGAATACCGAGTTGGTATATTCTAGCGCTGTTACAAATACAGATATTGACAGTTTAATGAACTACAACGAAGCCACGTGAAACAGAAAACAATCTGTTATAAGCATTGTTCACCGCACCGTAGATTACAGTTTACAATGTACTTGTAGTTCACGTGATTTTTATTTTTTGCTTTAACTCCCATAATGCATCGGTCACAAATTCAATATTAAGCGGCGAGTTCTAGTATTAAGTAATGAAGATTCTAGTGCGGAAGAGTTCTAAAATAAAGCGGTCACGAATTCTAGTATTTAATGTATATTAGTTCATACATAACGTAAGCTGTACCTTCAGAATGCAAAGGGAATTAACTTCCTCGTTGTGTGGTACAGATTGGTAAGAACGTAAAATTAGGTCTGGCGGTATCTCGAGTAATGAATACATTATCATGGGTTCTGGTGTGAGACCCTCCTCGCTTTAACCATAGCTGCCAATCATGTGTCAGATGGTCCTTGTCCCAATGTCTGATTACCGTACGCAAGACGTCAGACATCACTGCTAAAATGCCATCCTCTTCCCAAACTCCCACTTATCCTCTGTCCTTGGTCCTTTTCGGGTCGTCCCGCAGCTCATGAATCTGAAGGCAACATATTTCATCCCCTTTTATTGGATGTTGTGTATCGATTTTTAGGGATCTTCATTCACTTTCTCCTTGGTAGTTTGCTTTCAACACCCCATACCCGAACTAACACTGATTTGAACAAGTCCCCAGACTCTCCCGAGCCACGCCCCCGTCGTAGAAACTGCCAGGTGGCAGGCTTTTAATTATTGACAATTGTGCGTTGGCTGAGTAAATACCGGTGAGCTTACAAGCCACTCGGGACAAGGCCTAGGTATGCAAATTACTCAGCATGATAATTTGTGCTGAGAGAAGTGGGAATAATGAAGTAATGAGGACGGACAATGCACCCCCAGTCGTAGGCCCGGCCTCAGCAGCTATCGGAATCAATTACAGCTATCGAGGGCCCTCTGGAGGAAATATTGTGACAAGCTTGGGTCGAGATCTGCATAGCTCTGCTCGTCGCCCTCACACGGGCATTGCCAGTCTATTTATTAAGTGTTTCAGAGTCAACCATCAAAAGATTACAAATAGTTTTTCGTTCTTCCACTTGAAGGATAATCTGATTTGACACATTCTTTTTCACTTTAACACTCTTACGTTGAGAGAGCGCGTTTATGTGTTTAGGGCTCTAACTATTTTTTTATGTTTCTTTAAAAGAAATCATGACTCTCTCTCTCTCACTTTTGGACTTTTATGATACTTGTATAAAAACAATTGCCATCCAATGTTTGGTTTTCATCTCACATAAAATAGCAAAATAAGTTTTAATTATGTACTTCTGTATTTGAACAACTGCTATTTCTAATAAGATTACGTGGTTTTTGTTCCGCAAAAATAACCGGGAAATTATTTCATATTTTTATTCACCGAGACATTTTTATCTGTGTGACTTCTTTTTTCAATCAACGCCTTTATTTGACAGTACGTGCACCATGCTATGCCTGGAGGATTTTCTGAATAATTAACATTGTACATGGTGTTACAGGAACCTTTCTTTTTTCGCTGTAATCAGCATATGTACATTTACTTTTATTACCACTGGTGAGTCCTATAAAGGTGCCTTCTTATTTTGAACCTGTATGTGCGTCCATATTTCTAGTGATTGTTAAGTGCTTTGAAATACTATGTATCTGTTATTGTACACTATTTTTATTATCATACAATATCCTTTTTTTGTGTGGGGCAGATGTCTCGGTTCCTGTTATTGTATTCGACTTTCGAGTTCCGATATTATCATGTGTCGAGGATATGGTGAATACGTGTTTTTTTGTTGCTATTTCACTTTTAAGAGTGTTATCATTACTCAGCAGTTAAATGTATGCTATGTGCCTTTCAGACGATCACGAGAACGCTAACGCAACTCCAGAGGAACAGGCAGCTAATAAGAAGGTGTTCAGTGACGAAGAGCTCAGCAACATAGTAGAAATGGTCCTCAAAGAGGATGATCTGGACAAGGACGGGTATATTACGTACGCTGAGTTTGTTAAGGCTCAGAGAAAGGCGCAGGTGACGGAACCAACGCAGACCTAAAGGGCGTCATCCTTGGCGTTGAATTTTCACACATGACTTATGGTAAAAGCACTTATATTCCATCATTTTCGTTATCGTTTTAAAAGTCTTTATTCCAAGAACCGTTGTTATTTTTGTAGAAAAGATAATGTTTTTATATTTCTTTCACCATTTATTTTTTGCAAAAGTCTTCAATATTTTGTCTACATTCTATTCAGACACGGTTAACTTTTCCTTTCAATGTCAAATTAAACTGATTTTATTATCTTTACATCTTAGTTGAGTCTCTTTGAATGCAATGAAGCCTTAGGTAAGCAAACAAGTATTTGATGCAGAAACAAACTGTACAGCGTCTATATAAATCTGTGTCCTCCATGTAAACTGATGATACAGTATAGGGATAGATTAAAAATCTGTACAATCTGAAGACAATTTGGTTTTTTTAAACAATAATTCAGTACGTCGTTAGATTTTATATTTGTGATTAAAATATATCATAAAACTTATTCAAACTCAACAGTATTCTCAAAATAGATGCAAAGAAAATAATTTTCTCGAAACATTACATGCAACAGCCTCATATTACAAAAAAAATAATTAAAATGTTAATTACCAATTATTGATATTGAAAATATGAATCTGTAATGTTTTAAACTATTTATAAGGTGTTCTATGACTAGTTGGATTATTTATGAATTAGTGTATAATCTAAAGATATGACGGTATTTTTATTACAATCAGATTGCTTTACTCCAACAGGAAACGACAAGATGTGAACTGTCGGTGCCATGTTGGGGGTAGGCTGTGTTTAATTCGGTAAATTGGAAATCGTGTTCTTTTTAATATTTATTTTTATTGTTGTTTTATAGAAGCAGTATCTTTGTTGTATGTTGGTTGATGTTTTTCATCGTTCCATTTAAAGCCAAATTTATCATCTCACACGTATCTGAGCAGCACAGGGAGGAATGAGAGAAATCCATTGATCTAGTCTGTTTGTTGTAGAATATTCAAGTTTAATTAGCTAAATGGTGAGAGTCATCAAGTGCTTTATTTAAAATGCTGTAAAACACTGAATATTTGAATATGTATATATACATTTTGCGATTGCTATAAACGTCGTATTTGCGAATATTTTCGCAATTTGCTTTAAAAAACGTTTTTTTTTTTTTTTTTTTAAATCGCGATGCAAATGAATTAGAGAATACTCCTAGTGAATTTAATGGAGAATAAATATTTCAAAATTATGTGTTTTACGGAACAGTAAAATATATTTGATTTTAATAAATTAAGATCTAGCCAGGCATACATTTATACACGAAGGAAAACGTATTATCAGTGAACATGGTTTTGAAGTTTTAACTAATTGATAAAAAATGTGTGGATGTATGAGGTATTGATCTGCAAATCATTGAAGTAAGTGTAAATACAAGTTTGATAAATAAAAAATTCTAATTTATAAAGTCCGATAGTTGGAGTAGCTTTAAATTGTAGTGTCAGAAACTTGTATTTTTTTGTGGTATTAGCTGGCTACTAGTTTATTATTTCACGAGAGTACTTATCGGCGTATATATGTGGTTTACAATAATTTGCTCATACATACATTATACTTACTTTATACGTGTGTATGTATTTACACCCACCATATTGATAACCGTGTTTTATGTAGGAAACATTATTTATTTATGTAGAAACATAGCGGCGAGTATTCTACTGTTAAATATTTAATCTATCAGCACCATGATCTTTGCTTAATTGCTTATTTTAAACTTTGAAATTTTCTAGTCCGATGTGACTTTGATATATAAACAGAATAATTTTCTCAAATGATCATTGGTATTAGTCACTTGTAAATGCGTATTTTCTCATCAGGATAAATTTATGATCAGAGAAGAGGTTAACTTTTGCTTGCCTTCCATGCTTAAAGTGCTGGTTCTTGGAGAAATCATCTCAAAGGTGCTCTATAGTATATGTTTACGTAATATGTCTGTTAATGATCTTTGTATGAACCAGTTCCTATACTTATTTGATTACTGATATCAGCCTGAAGGGGAATCTCGAGACTCCGTGCTCCTATCGTACTATTATACATAATTATTGAAAATACCATTTCCGATGATGACTTGATTTCCGGAAGGGACTGTTTAAATCTGATTACACAATAAAGTCATATCTCTCAGTATTCCGACAAAAACATTTTGACAAACGAGATGCAATGCCCCTCCTGGTCACATTCCATTTAAGGGCGTATAGATGTGTGTGTGTGTGTGTGTGTGTGTATAATGGTGGTAGCTCAATAGTATGTTGTATACATGTAAATGTGAATGAAATAAATAAATCGGGAAGAATTGTCACTTCAGATTTGTCATTGTTTTAATTAAAGTATTTAATGGAACCTAATTTCTGACTTCGTCTTTCACTTATATGTCTATTTCGATTATGTCTTCTATTAAAATTTGATGCCATTACGCATTTTAACAAAATGTCAACATGAATGTTACTCAATCAATATATACAAATAGCTGCATCCAAAGAATTGCTTAATTGCTTATATTTCATGATCTCAACAAAGTTTCGTTAAGGGTATTATATTTTAGAGATTCTATTTTTCGTTTGAAATTAAGTCCGATATATTCTCAATTAAAAAATCGCGCGTCACTGATGTGTGAAAATCAATGTTAATATTGACCACGGAATATATACATTAATATAAAGAGCTTTTATAATTATCTATACGGTGATAGACGTCACCTTTATAATTTTACTGACCACATTACTTTTATTGATCATTATCGGTATACAATACTTATATTCCGAATTTTGATCAAAATCTATTTTTATAAATTTTTGTTAAGTGAAAAAAGCGTTCTATTTATTATTGTTTTATAAAAAAAACCACAGGAGATATCTGACACGCTGACTAAGAACGTCAATATATAGTGTATTCCAATATCCATAAATCTAATTATGTTATTTCTTTTTCATCAATATTAGATTTTGCGTTCATACTTATTACTTAGCTTCGATTTGATGGTTATTTTGTCCGGGATTAAACGTCTCTCATTGGTAGTATTCGATATCATAACATATTGCTTACAGATAATGCAATTGAAGATACCTAAAGGAACACAAATATAAAGTCGTTTTATCATTAAAAATATATCCATGTGTTTTCCACTAACCCTCAAACGTTGAATTGTTGTTACCGGTATAAACATAATTCATGTTTGCGACACTTAAGAATGAAGGAGTAAATAGAGAAAATAAAATAAAAATCCATACGTAATGCATTAAATACTAATAATGCATTAAAATACCTAGTAGACTATCTCATTCGGGCATAAACTGTGCGATGATGCCAAACTACAACTTCGCGAGCCAAGGGTATTCAATACGATGAGTATCGTATTGAACACCCTTGGCTCGCGAAGTTGGCCAAACTAGAGGCAGCACAATTTTGGAAAATATGAAGAGAAATGTTTGCAAAGAAAGAAATAACAAACGTGCATGTATATGTTTTCATCGTGTCTATTATAAAGGTTGATTCATTCTCAGTGATATGTACAATATATATTTGGCTGTTCACAAATGTACCAGCATGGCACATGTACGAAGCTTGAGAGACAAAATCAAGGAGTTTTAAACGAATATATAATCATCATCGTCTATTTATGAATCGAGTCGATTTTACTATTACAAATTAATATGTTGGCAGAAACTAATAATTGTTCATGGAATTTTTGTTGTAATGTGATCAATCGAAACTTGTCTTGCACTATATTGTTTAATGGACGTAGACGGCCATTTAATATATGGTATATATTGGAATGATTGCTGTCAAACAGAGAATTCGATATTTCGCTATTTTACTGATATTAAATTTATTTGGAAAACCCTTGATTTTATCTTCAATAAAAACAAATCATAAGTTACACAATCATTACATATTTTACATAACATTCATTATTGCTTCTATACACGTGTAATTCACAATATCTAAAAGTGGAACCATTTATATATAGTTATGTATAATAATAGTAATAATAAAACATGTAAATAATATATATAATTCCCCATAAAAGCATTGTCTCTGTAAGTATACAACATGGTACAATACTATTGCATGTTATAAATCAAATTGTCTACTAGTCGCCTATGATGTGTTTCACATGCATATTGAACAAATGTTCAGTTGGACATGGTATCTTCATACGTTAAAACATCTGACTGTGGCATTATTAGGTAATGTTTTAATGGCAATCCACATCCAGTAGGTAACTCACATCTGTCAACTACTCAATATTCAACTCCTTTAAGTATTATGGCACAGATTTGCCACTAAAACTGTTTTGACAAGGGCTCGTCGAAATATTTACAAATGCCCTCCTTCAATGGAATGAGTTTCCATGTGATTTTGGCAAGCACTGAAGTGAAGCGGGTTCTCCACAAATGATTTAAAGTCAGGAATTCCATGCATTGTCGCTACATTTCAACACCACGAATGATTTATCAATGTTGATTTGACCAGAGAACTATAAGCGGTTGCTTATGGTTGCCTTTAAGAATTGTCCTCGTAATACTGTTGTAATACTGTTGAAGTAAGTTTTGTTTATTCACTTGTGGTTGGCTTTCGCAGCGCTGACACGCCGATTGTCTATTGCTCACATAAATAGGTAGGCGCCCCGGCGCCAGGAGTCGCCGAATCTCTCAGTCACGCCTGATACTGAAGAACAGAATTTGACAATCCATGGTGAGCATTGTTCATCCGGAGTGCAGTCAAACTCTTATTGTACCAGTCGTCTTCATGAGATTCCTAAATTAATACAAAATAGACATAAGCATTTAACTAAAATGTCCGAAAGATGATGGTTCAAATCTTAAATAAAACCTGATTATACTTCCATGATTTGTCAAACAATATGTTCGATTTTTAAATTTGGTTGTCGCCGTAGCAGCATTAGTATTTAAGGAAATAAAGTAACAAAGTATCTTGAAATCGATGAAATGATCAGCACAGAAAACTTAAACTTAACAATTTCCTTGTACACAACTGTGGAAATTTTAATAAGGTAGTTTTCATACGTTTCTTTTCCTTTTAAAGCTGTTATTTTCCAGAAACACTAATTTTCATTTAAAAATATCAAGCGGAGTGGGTTCATTTTCTCATAAAATCAATTATAAAATAATTTTGCAATACAATAGCCTTTGAAATTGACACTTACCAAATTGTAGTCTGACGTCATCTGGAACTGTTGGACTTGGCGAGGCATTGACGCCATGTTGCCTGTAGGCATACTACTCATACCTCCGAACTGGGCGACTGGAGGATACGCGGTGTTCATCTGCGGGTAGCGCGCCATTGTGTTCATATTCGAAGGGGTAGGATAGGCCGCATAAGGCCGTGACGTCGTTGGGTAGATATTCCGCATCATACCGTTGCAGGCAGGGTTGATGACCGGGGATAGTGACTTGGCTAGTTGTTTCTCCTGTTTTCTATACTTGGCCCTGCGATTCTGGAACCATACCTGTAAAAAGATAGAGCACGTCAGACAAGTTCATTCACACTAGTCATTACCAACAACAAAGTAAACGAAATAAGACAATTATTGAAAAACGAAATGTTTTGCTAAATGAAATTATAAGAATGAAAAAATGAAATATTTGTAACAAAACAATCAGAATAGTAAGTAGCAGCGCAATCATGAAAAATAGGCGGTCTAAGCATCGATATCAAAAAAAAATTGATAAAAACGGGTATTGTTGTTAAAAAAAATGATATGAGCTAAGTGTGTTTTGTATAACCCTACAATTATTTGTTCCGTACTTATCAAACTTGTATTGACTATGTTTATTGTTTTACCATAAAAAATAATGAACATTCATTCATCGAGTGAGAATCAAACCGCACAAAATATGAACAAAAACTATAATCATTGTCGCCCATATCAAAGTATAAATAATTGAAACATTCGAAAACATCTTAGGGGTTGGAGAAACTTCAGAAGCGCATTAACTTTCAAATATCGTTTATTTATTTAGTTATATTTCAACACGAAAAAGTCAATATAAGGCCACAAAATGGTTGAATACCATCCTACATCATGCAAACGCATTTGTGCATATTCTATTCATGTTTCATTCCTATATATCATATACAACATGGCAAATATATACATATATTGATTTAAAATGCAATCGTTTAAATCCAGTATATGTCTGGAATTCATTTGTGAAGTTTATCACGTTTTATGTGTGCGTGAATGACTGGAATCATAACCGAGTCGAAATCGAGATAACGAAGTTAGTTTGGCTTGCATGAACGTTGTCTGCATCAATACTATAAAAAAGTACCCTGAATGGGACTGAACATTAGTTCTTTTGAATTTTGTGTCTTACGTCTGCGTTGTGTCAGTTTCAAAATTTCAACGCGTATTTCAAATTGGTTTTCGGGCAAGAGTTTCTAGGCATTTCTTGAACAGTGTTTTCAATTCAAATAAAAACTGTTCATTAAAAATGTCAACATGTATTTTTAAATTGATAAAAAAATAAAAAATAAATCAGTCGAGTTTTTGTTGTGTTTTGTCACTGAAATTACGAGTGGTTCATTTATACTTCAGTCACATCGCGTACATTCGTGTCAGAAGAGTTGTGGACAAAGCGACTCCGTGCAGTACGGAAGCAGAACAAGCTCCAGTATAGGGGGTTCTTTGCATACTTAATTGAAATCAAATAGACAGTGATGATACGTGTTATAAAAACATTCCATAGCGTTTAATGAAGCAGAAGGGTGCTTCTTGGAGCGCGCAGAACTGCCGACAACAATCGTCATACACAAAACGGGAGTATGCTTTCACGGAAAGTCGTCCTAGAGTCAGTCCACAACACGACAAGACGCTGAATTGATTTCAATTACCAGCCCGTCACAGAGAACGCCAGATTCATCAGTGGTGAACTGTAGTAATTGTGATTATAAAACCCGTACTTTCTATGTCAATACACTAGCAGGAGATCTGGCATGCAAGGTTGGGAGCTGGTTTAGAGGTACCTCGACGAGGGAGCTGTACAAGCACTCCCATCAGTCACAGAACACGCACGCTAGACCGCATGCTCATGCAAAGTGGGGCCTTTAAACAGGCGCTACTCTCTCAGCCTTTTTTCCAACTAACGGATATTCCGTAATTCAATTACTCTGGTAATGAATTCGTGTTCTAGTCACTAAGGTAGACTTCTATTGGAGCAATTAGTGCGCTTTGTCATGTTTTCCGTCATCACTGTCCGTTTGTATGAGGAGCACCTGCTGACAAATCGATTATAGCTCTGGTCGCTTGGCTACTCTCCACCCCGTCCAACAATCCCGAATAACAGACAGTTGTACTATACGCTTGTTATTATATAATGTATGCTTACAGAAGCAGAGTTTATGGAATATATTTCTATAAATTGAAATTTCCATTTATTTATTTTTTAATATATTACTTGTGTGGAGAAAAGAAACGAAAACGGCATTCCCTGAAACTGAATCGGCTTTAAAAAGGTCCTAACCCCCTGACGTTTTCCTATCGAGGTGAATGTTAAGCAACAAAATGCTTGTTTTCATGTGAAACATTCAATTCTTGCTAGGTGTGTTGATAGTTTTCAACAGGTTTCTTTAATTCAGCGATTATTTAGCTCTGAATCAATGTGTTGATGCTGTTTTAATTATTCTCAATGAATTGCGAACACGTATCAAACTTGTTCTATTCCCCTAGGATATTTTGCGCGTGTAACACATTAGTAACAGTGCGTTACTGGCACGTGTCTTACACACGTCCAACGTGTGTCGTCCTGTCGTCCCACACGTGTTTGAACAATCGAGGCATCATCACCTCATTTCTAGTCTTATTGTAGTCAAAATAGCATAAATACCATGAATATACTGCTTGTGTTACGAAATGCCATAAAGTAGAGTAAGTGGAGAGTAAGTGCGTCACCTGTTGGGCGGGGGTGTAGATGTCTTTGAATGGCCATTTACACACGTACAGTTTACAATCATACAAATGGTTTATAATGGGCTTTTAACACTAACCAGACGTGTTCATTTGTGAATGGACACAATAATTATGATCAAATACGAACGCAATATATTGATCAAAGCTAACTACACATAATTAAGTGTGATCAGTCGAACATAAACCTTGGTATAAATAAAATAACAATAATAAGAGCAGAATACACATGTGTAGAAAAGTTTACTCTATTATTTAAATCACTAATGTTACGAAAAATTACAAGACAAAATATAAAGATGTGAATCAATTTAAATTTATCACAATAGTTCCTTTGTTTACACTAAGCATACAATACAAGTACTGATAATTTCTAAATGAACGGAATTACCATATGGTTTAGTAAATATTTACTTTGTTTGGCATTCTGCATAGATTTCCTAATATTTTAAAATAAATCCTTTATTAATTTATATTTCAAATGATAGTTAATAATAAAAACAACAAAGAGGACATGTATAGGCTATAGGATAAACTGTTTGCATTATGTAACATGGTTTCTTTTGAAAATTAGGGAAAAGCGAATCAACCATGAAATGTAAACACTGTAAACATACGCCATGTACCAAAAAGAGGAAATATAACGATCATAAATCTAATCATATTTTATACGTTTTGAAACTAGTGATCAGACCAACTATGTCGATTTGTTTTGCAATAGGTAAAGAAACGTAGATATAAGTTTTTTTGTAACTTCAACCCAAACTACACATTCCCCAGTTTTACAACCATTTTTGTGTAACAATTGTAAATCCCAGTCTCTATAGTGAAGGCTCCGATAAGCCGTCATACAATCCCGCTAGTTTCACTGTGAATCCAAGAAATCCACTTTGATTAAACAAATAGGGAATTATTTTCGATAATTTAAAATGATTTATGTACTTTAAACACATCAATGAGGACAGAAGGATATATATAAGATATATTAAATTATTATCCGGTTAAAATATATGATAAACAGACTTTTCATGTGTGTTAATCAAATATACATATGTATTTTCCCCGATGATAATATAGAAATAAATATTATGAAATTTCTGTGTGGTGAACACAATTTAGCATTGAACAGAAACAAAATATATTCAAATATTTTGCTATTGATAATAAAATGTTTTCCATAGCAATTATTTCAAAATGTTCCATGCAATTTACGTCTTTATCCAAAATAATCGTTTTAAAGTTAGATATCTCAAATTTGAGGAAAATTGAGTAACTATTGACATGTATGTAATTCTATGTTTTAAAGAGGATTATTTTTGCAGTTAGAAATGTTTTTCCCAAAATAATTCCCGGGAATGTTTTGCTTACTTTCCCATAGCTATATATTGCAAGTTTACTGATCGACATTCAGCCAGTCAGAAAGATCAGGAAGCTAATTTTGCTCCGTCAATGTTTGGAATAATATGAGCGGCTCAGGGCCTGTGCGTAACCTCCTAACGATTTGGGTGCCAGCTTGGATTGCCTTTCGCCCGAATTCTTCTAAACTGAACACCGCGGAGACCAAAACGCGTCTTACACTGCTGAAACTCAACACTGCCTCAAGATACAAATTTGCAAGCTTTATGAGCCGTGAGACCAGAGCCAAATCAAGAGCGTTTGCCTATCTTGCCGCTCTGGCTGTTTGGCACTCAAAGTGTCTCTAGCTTGTTCTGGTAGCGTCTCCCGAGAGACCAGCGGCGCTTCTCAAGACTGACACGGTCGCTAATGGAGTCGCCTCTCACAGTGGCCGCTCGCTGCATTAACAACGCATAAAAATTCATCAAAGGAGATACCGGGTTCAGAATCGCTTCTCGCCTGAATCATTTACGAAATTCAATTTCAAATCTTCCCCTAAGCTACTCCGTACGATAATGTTTTTACATAGCGAACATGACAACTTCGTTATATCAAAAATGGCTGCAAACACGTTTAAACATTTTGCAATTGGGCTAGGCGTATAGGAACGATGGAGAAGTAATATTGGTGTGAATAGTTAGGGTCGTATCTATAGAAATTGCTTTAGTTTCATTGCCTTCTCCAAATGAGAACAAATGCGATTTACTATAGATACTAAATGCTACAAATGCCTTACAGACCGGAAGCTGGTTTTGTCGTTATTTTGAACATGTAGGTTCCGGTAAACGCAATAGATTTCACTAATAATATAGCATTTGTTAGATGTCCTCCGGACTCTTTTTCTATTTACATCGTTTATAGGAAGACAATTATGAAGCAGTCATTTTAATCAGATAGGATTTTTTTCTTTTTATTTCTTACGTGGTAACATTTGTTTCTTAAACTAATTGTTATTCGCCGTTTGTTTGAATTGCATAAACTAACAGAATCGAAGAGGATCATGTGCTTTTTCACCAAATTTGTTGTACCATAATGTTAAAATCTCCTTCAAGTCAATAAATAATAAAAATATCATGAATTGTTTTTACCAAGACTAGTGATAATTATTTACTACAATTTTCATCAATGGTATTGCGAAAAAATTG